CGTTTTGTTTCGTTTTGTGTGTGGCAAGAAGCTGAGGAAATCACGAAGGCTGGTGCGGGCCCCGCGCTGGATACGTACGTACCTACGTAAGCTTCTGCCGGGGGGAGAAAAAAAAAAGGTTAAATGTTGTGAACTCCGCCGTTAGTGTGACTAGTAACAAAAAGACAGGCTGCTACAAAAAGGCGTGACGGTTATGACGGCAAGAAATCCTGGTTTTCTGTAGGGTGGAAGTATCACGCTAACTCCCGTCTGGTTTATCCCCGGCAGAGAAGTGTAGATAAGGTATAAGCGACGCCGGGCCGAGACCGAGGTGGTGGCGGCGGGCGGAGAACCTGGAATTTTTTTTTTTTTTTTTTTATGAATTTTTTTACACTACAGTACACTCTCGGAGATCAGATCCCGCCCGGGACGTGTGGGGGAATTTCCACAATTTAGTGTTTGACTCGCACACTTACCTTGTACGTACCTTGTTACTGTTTCTATATACAAAGAGAAATGCAACGATTGGAATACTTTTTTTTTTTTTTTTGTTGAGGCCAAGTCTCGCATCGTAAGCTTTCGCCGACACAAGCCGATGTTCATCTTTGTGTCGTCTGCAGTAATAAGAACATTGTCGCGAGAGACGATGTTGGCTGCTGTATCGAGTGTTGCTGTTGTGAGTGTGCCATTTGAGAATTGGAAGTTGGACCAGCCTGCTGAAGACTTTCCATTTTGGAGAAGTTGAGCGTGACGGTGACATCAGAGCCATCTGCAGCCGCTTCGCTGCGTGGCTGGCACCTGAAGCGGTGCTCACAGTTACACCACCACCACCACAAGATTTGTAATTCGGCTTCAAAGACGCCTTTGGGTGATAATTTATCCAGGGCAGGGCAGCCCCCTTGGTTGTTCTGACGCCTACCATACCTACTATCCCAAAGAGGGCAGGCGTGCAGATTCGTGCGTGGACGGCGTGCACGATGGAACGAGATCTCACACCAGCCGCGCTAACAAATAACAAAAGGCTAAAAAGCAAAGCCGATGACACGGCGGCTGACCGGCACCGGCGCGCCCCCCCTCCCCTCTCTCTCTCTGCAGGTCTCAACGGGAAAAAGGAATCTCGAACTCGCGTCCTGAACCATTCGTTCGGCATGATCGACTGGCCGTGAGTGGTCAGAATGTCTTTTTTGGCCAGCCGCTTGTCATCGGCACCAATGCCGATGCCGGTGCTCGGCTTATGTGTAAGTAGTGAACAGTCACTAACAAACGTTACATGGAGGGATGTGGGGACGGAATGTGGGACACCACCACCACCACCGCCTGCAGTGAGTGAGGGAGAGAGAGGGAGTCGTCTACGCTAAGCTTTCCCAGCTGACAGGGTTCATTCATGGAGCACTTGACTCAAGTGGTGCTGCAGGTTACACTACATGACTCTACCAAATTGAAGCTAGTGGGAGTCAGTGAGGAGAAGGAAAGAAAGGAAGGAAGGAAAGTGTGTCGATCGCTTGCCTTTTCTGGGCTCTGAGATTACGATGGAACTGGGGAAGAAAAGGCAAGACATGGTCAGTGGCCGAGATAGGCAAACAACGAGGACGGGGAGAAGAGATTTCTAGATAACGGGGGAGTATTGCATCTGTAGATATCTCGGCTAGGTATATGGATGTGGTCGTCCCCCTCATCCATCGGTTCATCCCATCCTCTTTCTTTCCCTCTGTCTTGTCTTTTTTTCCGTCTGAACGCCTGACGAACTCCAGGTCCCAAGTATACTCAGACGTGGGGACTCGTTCATCTTGTATTCACCGATCCTCACCTTGCGACTACCTACCTATTACACCGACAACCATCCACAGCGACCTTACTCTCCATATGTTTTAGACACCTGATTACCGTGACCGCCGCGACAAGGCGTCTACTTACACCGATACCTACTTAGCCTCCGTTACGACATCAACCTACATACACCGATACCGATTCCAGAGTCCATAATGGCGTCCCCCGACACCGAAAAGGCGGGCTCACCCGGACACGGCTTGGGTGGAATGGACCACTCCCACCAATACACCGAAAACAACGGGATGAATACCATCATTGACGAAAATGGCCACGAACAACCACCGCACCATGGCATGTCAATTGGAAAGTACGTCAAGACGCGATTTACGACACTCAAGCCGGCGATGCGACCGGCGCCCAACCCGATCAGGCTGTTGAGGATGATTACGGGGCGGCAGTGGGCTTTCTTTGGGGTTGCTTTCTTTGCTTGGGTTAGTTTTTGTTGTTATCATTTCCATCACCGCTTCGTCCATCATCATCATCGCCATCTCTACATACCCCACAATGATTTCAGCCCCCATGCATTGTCAACACTTCCATTCCCATGTCATCAGCTTACATCCCTCATCCACACTTACTATATCAAATTACCACTAACACTAAACCTTGCTCAATGCAGACATGGGACGCCTTTGACTTCTTCACCGTCTCCCTCACTGTGGAAGAGCTCGCCAAGGACTTTGGCAAGACCAACACGGACATTACCTGGGGCATCACACTGGTGCTCATGCTGCGCTCCATTGGCGCCATCTCGTTCGGCATTGCGGCCGATCGGTACGGAAGGAAGTGGCCATTTGTGGTTAACAATTTGCTTTTTATTGTTCTGGAGCTGGTAAGTTTCCCCCTCTTTTTTTTTATTTATTTTCTTAGGTATCTTCCTTAGACACATTGCCCCCCTTGGTGGAACCGAATTGTCATGATGACGATGACGATGAGGGGTCCGATATGCGAAGGGTCCGAAGAAATGGAAGAGGCGGAACAAAGTGATGTCATGGCGCCATGACATGTTGTTGTTCCTGGATGATCCCCCGCAATTCCGTCTCGGGAGCAACCGAATGTCATGACTTGGCTTCACTTGGCAATCAATGCAATGCCTGTGGCGTGTCTGGTTGGGAACTAGGGAACGACGCAGCCAAGACTGCGCCCAGAAAACCCCCGTGGACATCGCTTGGCTTCGTGGCTTTCTCTTGCATCTAAGCGAAGAGGCATCTTTTTCTCCTTGGAGAAAAGTTTGTTTGGTTGTCTGTCCTTTTTCAGTCTGTTGAGGGGGAGATGGGATGGGGTCTTGGCTTTGTCAATCTCTCATTTCACCGTCATGGATGCCACCATCACCATCATCACTATGCTAGCAATGGCTTGACGCACATCCACTAACATGACCACTACCATTAGGGCACCGCCTTTTCGCAAACCTACTCCCAATTCCTCGCTTGCCGCGCCCTCTTCGGCATCGCCATGGGTGGTCTCTACGGCAACGCGGCCGCCACCGCCCTCGAAGACTTGCCCCCCGCCGCCCGCGGCTTGATGTCAGGCCTCTTGCAACAAGGTTACGCCTTCGGTTACCTTTTGGCAACCGCCTTTGCCCGCGGTCTGGTCAACACCACCTCGCACGGCTGGCGTCCGCTCTTCTGGTTCGGCGCTTGCCCGCCCGTCTTGATTATCGCCTTGAGACTGCTGCTCCCCGAGACGGAGATTTACGAGCAACATGCTTCTGTGCGACGCACTGCGCGCGCTAACGGTCACAACAAGGGTGGCGTCAGCGCAACTTTCCTGCGGGAGGGCAAGGTCGCCATCAAGAAGCACTGGCTCATTCTGATCTACCTTGTCTTGCTCATGGCCGGATTCAACTTCATGTCCCACGGCTCCCAAGACTTGTACCCCACCATGCTCCGCTCGCAATACTCGTTCAGCGCCAACGCCGTGACAGTCACCCAAGTCGTCGCCAACCTCGGCGCCATGTCGGGCGGCATCATTGTCGGCTTTGCCTCGCAGATCTTTGGTCGCCGCATTTCCATCATTGTCATGTGCATCATCGGCGGCGCCTTGCTATACCCGTACACTTTCATTTCGTCCAAGAGGCTCATCGCCGCCGCCTTCTTTGAGCAATTCGCTGTTCAGGGAGCTTGGGGTGTTATCCCAATTCATTTGATGGAACTGTCTCCGGGAGCATTCAGGACGTTTGTGGTGGGTACTTCGTACCAGCTTGGCAACCTGGTGTCGAGCGCTAGTTCGACCATTGAAAGTACCATTGGCGAACGGTTCCCTCTCGAAAATGGCGGCGGAAACGTGGGGTACGAGTACGGTAAAGTTATCTGTATCTTTATGGGGTGTGTGTATGTCTATACGATTCTCCTGACGTTCGTGGGGCCCGAGTACCTGGGACGCAGCTTTGATGTGAGCGAGGATGAGGATGTAAGGGAGGTGGCGGGCGAGGAAGTAGTGAGGGGGGCTGTTATTGCGAGTCACATGCATGGACATGGACACGGAGGGGATGCGGAGGGGAGTGGAAGTGGAAGTGAGGGTGGGGAAGGGGTTGGTGGGAAGGCGCAGGGAAAGGAGGTGGAGGTGGCTTAGGACGCTTATCTTTGGGTTTTTCCTTATTGAGCTGAGGTGTTGGGGACGAAAAAAAAGGGGTTTTGATGGCATGTGTGATGAAGGAAGCGAGCGCTTTAACGATGTGGATTTATGATAGTTTGGATATACCTTATGAATTTATGATTGATTGACGTTATAGATTGATATGGATTTTGGATAACAAACCGCCTACTGTTTTTGCCAATGATGTGATTGACTTATTGCGTGATTCTTCTATTGGCCTCGCTCGTTGGATAACAGTCATACCTTCAAGGTTTTATTTGTTTGGGGAACGGGCCTATGGAGCAGAATATTGTGGAAGAGTTTCGTAGTGTAAAGCGAGAGAAAAGGTATTAGCATTTATTTGGAATACCACTTAGCTAATTCACAGTATGGGGAATCGCCTGCAACGGTTGTTTTGGTAGGTGGCGGTGTTTACTTACTTTTATTAAACCGTACTATGGGATTGGACTGACGGAGCGCTCCAGAAAAGAGATTCCCCTCCTCCTCCATTTTCTGCTCTATGTAAGGAGGATATACGGAGTACATATCATACTTTTACAGTCGGAACCTACCTACCGACTTACCTCTACATGATGAGCTGGTCACAAATAGCTGCCGGTCATAGTATTTCACTTGTCAGGCCGTAATTTCACTTGAATCTCCGTAACTCCATCGACTCGAGGCACTAGTAGTGAGCTGGTTCGCATGTCAGACATACTACCCGCAACGATTAGTCGGGTTATTATCGGTTCCATGGCCATCTCGGCCGATGAAAGTCGATCATGGCATAAACTAATGCACAACAACAAACATGTAATGCAGCATTCCGCGACCTTTATTTGAAGCAGTCCCGTCCACCTTTTCTTTTCTCCAAAAAGCAATCGCAATCTCACGCCTTAACCAAGCCCTTCTCCAGCGTCTGCACCATGACCGACCCATCCTCCATCCCAAAGTAAGCCGCCACCGGCTTCTGCGCACCCCCGCTCTCCACCTCTAACCCGCTCTTTCCATAAAACAATCCATGCTCCGCCACGCCCGGAATCTCAATCAACCGTCTCGCCAGCCCATCCACCGTCCACACGCCCTCCTCCCCTTCTTGCTTTCCCTCTGGCAGTTCCGTCAACAACGGCTTAAACACCGCATCCACGATCCTCAATCCATTATCCGTGACGCACGCGCCCGCCTTGCCCGGTAGGCCCGACCGCACCTGGGCGCTTAGACTCCCCAGTCTCTCGAGCTCACCCAACACCTGCGGCACCGCCATGGGGAACACCTCGATAGGGATTCCCTTCTTCCACGCCGTGCCCAAGTGAGCGCTAATCTTGCGCGAGTCCGCGACGCAGACGAACTTGCGCGCGGCGGTGGCGACGAGCTTTTCTTGCAGGAGACAGGCGCCGCCGCCTTTGATGAGGTTCAGGCAAGGGTCGACTTCGTCGGCGCCGTCGAAGCACACGTCGAGCGCGTGGCCTGGGGATAGGTCGGAGATGTAACCCAGGCGAAAACCGGCGGCTTGGATGAGGTCGCGGGATTGGTCGCCCGTTGGGTAGAAGGTCATGGGGGAGGTGATGGTGGCGCCGAGCTTGGAGATGACGTCGACGACGTGGATGACGGTGGAGCCGGAGCCGATGCCGATGTGTCGGTAGGTGGGGGAGAGGTGCTCGGTTACGGCGCGGTTGGCGGCGAGGAATTTGGACTTTTCGATGAGCTGGGCGACGGATGCATCGGGGGCGGAAGAGGGGGTGGTGGACATTTTGGCGGTGCTTGTGTGGCTGGGGGGTGTTAGTGAGAGTGAGATGAGGAAGGAGAGTGAAGGGGGGAGAGGGAGATACTAACAGGTTCCTGTGTGGCTGGGTGGTAAAAGTGTTAGGGAGGGCTGTTTGTTTATCTTTGTCAGTGATATATGTGGTGGTTGATGACATGTCAGATGTGAGATTGTGAGTGGTTGTGAGAGACTTGAGAAGAAAGGTGGGGATGACTCGTGATGGGGCAATGGGTATGACTCAGTGGGTTTGATGTGATGATCAACTTACCGGCTTGGTGGACAATGGTAGTCCGAAGAGGCGCTGGTGTTGAAGGGTTGACTTTGAAGTTGGCGGCGGCGGCGGCGGCGGCTGAGTGGAAGGCGGGCCCTGGTTGGTGAACACAACGAGCAGCAGCAGCAGACCAGGAACGACGAGGTATAAAGGACGTGACTCGATGGGGGTTCATGGACATGGTGGTGTTGATCTTGAAATCCAAAACTGCCGGAACAAGGAGAGCCAAATAAAATGCACCCCTAACCCTGATCGGCGAAAAGATTTGAGCAGTTCGGCGGGTTTTCAAGACAATGTCGTTGAAAATTACAGAGGTCCCTGATTGGCCGGGTGATGTCACACGAACCGGACAGGCGGATGAGGCGGGGTTGCGACGCCGAACCGGAGGGGTTTGTGTTTGGTGCTTATCGATAAGCAGCAGAGCAATGCACTAACAATTTCACCGCGACTTTCTTTCTCCATTTCATTTTGTTTCATTTTATTTTGGTTTATTTTGTTCCATTTCTCTGCCATCCAGGATTCATCTTCATCGGCAACAACATCAACCGCCAACCCTCGAAACCGCCATCAGTGCTGGAACCGGAAATCCAACCTCTTGTTCCCCTTGTCGGTCGTGGTCGCCAAATACTCGAGCCTCTCCTCCGTCGTCATGGCCTCCCACTTGCGCGCCTTCTGCTTGTTGCGGAACAGGTAATACGCCTTGACGAGGACATACAGGGCAATGTTCATACAGCAGATAGCCAGCAGCTGCTTGTTGGCACGCCTGTACAGCGGCGCATCATCTTATAAGTACTTTAGCATCCTGTTCTCAACGAGGAATCGAAACAACAACTCACCCTTGCGATAAATATTCGAACTCACAATCCCCCCGCCTGCACAAACATGTTATAACAAGCCGCCGACACCGTCCTCGACCGAACCGTGTTCGAGTTCCTGCTGTTCCACCCGACCTGAATGGGATGGGCATTCGGATACCCAAGCAGCAACGTCGTCACTGCGTAAATCACCCACCGATTCACGCCTGTCGTGTCGACGCTGTTGAGGTAGATGAGGAAAGGCAAAGCCCAGACCTGCCCCGATGCCGCGATCAGCGTCAGCTCGTTGAAGATCTCCCCGAGATAGGTGATGCCGAGCATGGTGATCATGTGTATGACGGTGTAGGGGATGGTGAGCAAGTTGGCTTGGAAGGTGTCAAAGTGCAGCCCCCTGAGAGTGAGGGTTAGGTATTGGCCTATAGGCGTCATGGGCATCTGGAAGACGAGGCCCAAGATGTAGATGGGCCTTTTGTCTCTTGTCAGCATCATTCATTCCAAGTGGAAGAGTGGATGACTAGGGGTACAGGAAGGGAGGAAAGGGACATACCAGAGATCAAAGTCTTTGAGACTCTGCCAGAGAAGTCTCGGCGTAATGGGCTCACGGTTATGCATGTCGCTCTTGCTCGGGTCTTCGCGGATCACGCGATTGACAATGATCTTCTCTTCCTTCTCGGTAAACCACCCGTTTTTGCCGCGGAACCAGCTGGCGGTGTGACAGGGACCGGCGGGCATGAGGACAAAGGCGAAGATGCCAATGACGAGTGTCATGAGGCCCTATCAATATATCAGTCAGTGGTCATCACCACCTAGAGGTACTCACACGCCATCCACTAAGCAGGCAATAACTCACCTCAATCAAAAACAACCACCTCCACCCCGCATGTCCCTGTACGCCCCTCATATGCAACAACCCATACGCCAACAGCGCGCTCGCAATATCCGCAATGCTCATGGCCGTCCAAAAGAACCCCAGTCTCAGACTCAGCTCATGGTGCTTGTAAAAGTAGCTGAGGTACAAAATCACATCGGGGATGAAGCCGCCCTGGAGGATACCGAGCAAGGCACGGCAGGCAAGGAACGATGTTCGCCCCTGAAGCCAGAACTGAGCGGTGGCGACGATGGACCACAAAACCATTTGCGAGGGAATCCACCGGTCGGGACCCATCCACTTGGAGACGAGCTGCGAGGGAAGTTCGGCGCAGAGGAAGGCTAGTTTGAAGATGGAGTTGCCTAGGTTGTAGTCTGTGCCATGGGTTAGCAGCCGTCTGGGTGGGTGTTGAGTCAGGGGTCCAAAGAAAAGTACAAAAAGACAAACACACCATTCGTCGTCATATGCAAATCCCCCAAGAAATTATCCGTCAACGCCTGCCCGATATTCGCCCGGTCCAGCTCCAGCGCCATGAACATGATGCACGCCCATACCATGATGCGCCAATCAATCTTGCGGATGAGCCGGTGCTCTTCGCCCCATGTCCAGCGCTCGAGGGGGTCGAACCGGTGGATGTTTTCCCTTTCCATCCGAATCGTTGTCAGCAACTGACCATCCAGCAGAAGCAAGACAGAAAACACAGGAACAAACTTACCAGTCCGGCCGCGGTTGGTACTTCTCTGCTGTATCTGGGTCGTCAAACACGGAAACCTGCGTGGCGATGGCAGTGGGATCATAGGACCTGGCTCGTTGAAACCAGAAGCGGCGCTCGGCAACTGCTACACCTAAAGGAGGAATGGAAGACAGGGTTTCGGAAGAGACATTGATTTTGGAGCCTTTGGACTCGGTTGCTGAGATGGTCCCGTCTGCTGAGGGAGAGATACCGCCCTTTGTGATGACTGTTGCCATGGTTGTTGTTCACTGGCCTGATCAGGTGTCTGATGAGCAGCGGACTTGGTCCCTGTCTCAAGGAGAGAGAAGAAATGGGATTCGAATACAAGTCTCACGGTGGTAGCACCCTATATCAAAGACTTGGGGACCTAAGCTTCGCGGGAACATGGAAGTCTATATGAGTCCAGACATCTGAGCGGCACCAGGGCAACGATTTCGACATGGCGATAGAGCTGCACACCATCATGGAGAGATACATACAATGCAGCACCAAGCACGACGTCGTAGCCAGCTTCCGCAATGCGTAGGTACAACTCTCATGGGCGGTTGCCACGGGCACGCCCAACCGTCAACTGAAGTGCTCGAAGGGACTCATACACGGTACTTCCACACGTCCAAGATGAGCTTTGATGCATCGTTCGCTACATCACAACACGGTTACAAGCTCTCGGCGCCATGGCATCAAGCATCCAAAGAAGACTTAGAGGCATTTGAACAACGACGCAACAAGTAGTGTGGAGGTCTGGCCCAGCGCCACGGGTTGTTAGACCGTGTAGACGTGATCCTTGGCTGGAATGAGGTTGGCGTGGGAGGCGATAAGGGTCTGCAACTCTGCAATAACATCTACTGAATGGGAGATAAGTCCGAACTCTGGACCAAGCCTTGAATACCATTCCACTGCTCCAGCCAAAGGGTTCGTGGGGTGGTAGGCTTGAGCCTCACGGACGAAGTGCGTGGAAGGTTTCAACCAGATGCCTGGTCTGAACGCTCTGGACACCGGAATATCTCGTTTTTGCCATATCCAGCGCGATAGTAGGCGAGCTGAAGACGTCAATAAGGGTCCAGCACCAGTTTATTCAATGCCAAGCACAGAGTCCTTCACCTCAAGGCGAGTGTCTTAACACCATCTTTGACACTCAAACGGCATCGCATTCTTGGAAAGAAAGCACGATTTGCGCAAGTCTAAGAACCCTCAAAGCAGCTGATGATAACGGAGGCAATTGAAGGTCAATATCGCGGGGTTCCTTCATCGTCGCGTGGGGGGACGGGTAGTTATTGGCGATTCGCCAGGTGGTGATGGCGTGCTGGTGTTGACGTGCTCGACCCTGACTTTGACGCGAATGACAAAGGCGACGCAGTCATTGGTCAATTCGATTATCGCGACAGCAACCTATATGGTACGGAATTTCGGCACCCCTCCTTACCAACCTGAGGAAAGATCTAAGCATCAAAGTACACTAATTGTTGACTGAGATAAGTGTGTCTTTGGCAGTCGTACCCGTATCCACGCCTTCTGGCCGACACGAGGATGCCAAAACGACCGACCCAACCAAGCTTTCTCCTCAACACCGGTGCGGGATAGACCCAATTTGGTTGTTACACCACAACCGCTGCGAATACACGCCAAGATTCACGACATTGTCGGTCTGATGTTGAAATTCACTACACCCTCATTCGGCATTTCCCCGCACATATGGCACCGATACGGCTAGCGGATACCGATCGCGGCATCACAAAAGGTGCTATTCACGAACAGTTGAAGCGCCGAAGGCATGTCGACACCAACTCGCCATATCTCGTCATGCATTTGATCGATGTGATTGGCGTCACAAAGCTGTTAGATAATAATCTCACTACGAATAACAGAGATAACCCTCTCTTTGAAACGCAGAGATCACGAACAATGCATGCACAACATAGCATGTGGTCTACCGGGCTTCGAAAATATGCCTGAACCAGATGATCATCTATATAAGAGGTTGACTGATAGGCCGTCAATATGAGTTCTTGTTCTTCACTCAGGCCAGTTACATCCCACACCCACTTCCCTTTGATACATCAACACTTGCAACCAAAACACCACCATGGCTCCTTCCGCTGTCGAGGCCGTCCAAACCACCATCAACGTCAAGAACCAAGCTACTCAGCAGTCTGCTCCTACCCAGCACGCCCAACACGTTGAGCCCCTCAAGCTTTCTGGCATTCTTGACCAGTATGAGCACTTCGACGTGACTCCCATCATCGGCCGCGAGTTCCCCAAGGCCGACCTGGTCGAGTGGCTCAATGCTCCCAACTCTGATGAGCTCCTTCGTGATCTCGCCATTACCAGTATGTTTCTCCCATTTCCCCTTGATTACTTCCCCCCACCCTCATTCCCTTCCCTTTGTCAGTTGTCTGCCCACTAAACCTCATACCCCTTGCAGTCTCCCGCCGCGGCGTCGTCTTCTTCCGCGCCCAGCACTCCCTAACCAACGATCTCCAAAAACAACTCATCCTCCGCCTCGGCGCCCTGACCGGCCGCCCGCCGACCTCCGGCCTCCACATCCACCCCATCCTCAACTCGGAGCGCGAACTCGGCGGCAACGATCCGGAAATCTCCACCATCAGCTCCATCCAACATCGGAAATTCTACAATCACTCTTCCGAGGACGAAGAACAACTGTCTCCCAAAAAGCAGTACACGGCCCAATGGCACTCCGACATTGCCTTTGAGCCCGTTCCTGCTGACTATACCAGTCTGCGCCTGGTGCAGCTTCCGAAAACAGGCGGCGACACCCTCTGGGCCTCGGGGTACGAGATTTACGATCGCATCTCGGAGCCGTACCAGAAGTTTCTGGAGGGGTTGACGGTTACGTTTCAGCAGCCGGGGTTCAATCGGACGGCGGAGAGGATCGGGTTCAAGATTTACGAGAAGCCGAGGGGCGCCCCGGAGAATGTGGGGAGTGAGCTGAAGGCGGTGCATCCTGTCGTCAGGACAAATCCCGTTACCGGATGGAAGAGCGTGTTCCCCGTGGGAGGCCATGTGAAGCATGTGAATGGGGTGACGAAGGAGGAGAGTGATAGGTTGTTGGAGTGGTTTTTGGAGCTGTTGCAGAAGAATCACGATTTGCAGGTGCGGTTTAGGTGGACGGGGGAGAATGATATTGGTGAGTCTTTCCGATCAGATCCAGGCGGTACTAAGATGTGGGAAAGAATGAAAAGGGAAACTAACGGTGGATGGAACAGCCATCTGGGATAATAGGAGTGTCTTCCACACTGCTACTTTCGACTATGACGGGTACGGCGAGCGGTTCGGTAACCGCACGGTTGGATTGGGCGAGAGGCCGTATCTTGATCCGCAGAGTACTAGTAGACGGGAGGGATTGGCGGCGGCGGGTGAGCTGGCTTGAGGCTGACCGCGCAAGACTTCATTCTTGTACTTTGTGTTAAATTCCCGACAACAGATCTTGCCGTTCAAACTCAACATGCCTCACGCAACCGTTTTTTTTGTTCTTTCAGGTAGTCGCCCAACGAGACTAACAAAACGAACTATTAAGGTACCTAGCGTAAGGTCGATGTTTGTCCGTCCAGCCTCGGCTGGGCTGGGTCATGCACCTCACAGAAACCAACTGCCTTTGCCTCTTCCAGAGCCTTGTCCTTTCAACTACATATCACCAAAGCAATCAACAACCTAATCGACATACGGTCGGGAACAGCTGAGCCATCAAGATGGCCCCGACCTCTTGGGACCTCGTCGACAACGAGATTGTAAGAACTAGGTAGGTAGGTATTGATTCATGCTGTCAAGACATGCGGCCCGACCTCTTATGTCCGTTGCTCGCGGCCAGCGTTATGTCCTCTGTTCACTAACAGGAGGCCATAGTGGTCGGCCTCCGAGATTTACGAAGTCGGCTTCACTGCGATGGTTGAAAGCCTTTCAAGTGCCCAGAACCCGACTGCGGCAAACCCTTTAGAACAACCTACAAAAGGGCCATTTTCACCAGGCATAGAGGTACAAAGCAAGAACACAATCCCGAAAGCGCCGATGATAGTTGGGTTGGTGTTGCCAGTGGTGATGGTTAAGTTGGCGTGAACAGCGCCCGCTTTTGCTCTCAACTACCAGCGACATTATGGCGCCTCCCAAGTCGGTCGCAAACCAGAGCGACGAGACACCTTACATCACCGCCCCAGTTGACGTCAACCAGCTGCAGCCATTGTGGCATCCGCAGTTCCAATGGTACCACGACCCAGTCGCAAACAATCCCACATCGACAAGCAACAACAACTCAACGTTGGTTATGGCGGGATACCCCCAGCCCCTTATGCGGGATTCCACAACCTGGCCACGGTTCGCAACACCATCGCAGAGATCCCTCAACAGTCAGGCAACGCAGACTTCTCTTTCTCCTTTTATATTCCGGGAGCCACGGGCTGGGTCAACGACATAGGGGTGCAACCCGTACTTGTGAAACGGCACTGGTGGGTTGGCTACCATTTTAACGTCGCGTTGTTGCATCCTGCGATAGGCGGGTGTCAACGTCCCTGTCTGTATGTCATCTCTGTATCCACGTCCTCCTTTATCTCCTGCCTATGCTGCCAAGGGCATACTGCTCCGCGGCTCCCTTCGAGCCGTGGGTAGGTATACACCAGAGGGTGAGGGGGCTGGCTGGCAATAAAACCACACAGGGTGGTGTGGGCTGGCTGCTCTGCCTCGGTTGCGGTAATATTGACTTGCGCACGACTGCAGGAAGCACCCTGGATCAGACAACCATCAGAAAAGCGTACCTACCAGCAAGCCGAAGGCAAAGAATGCCGATGAAAGACCTTTCCAGTGTACATAAAATGACTGCGACAGGGCCCTTAGAGGAAGAGAAAGGACGACTTCGCCAGGCAGGTCAAAGTGAACTGGACCAGCGCTCTGTTGAAGCAGCCCTTCTCCATCTTGATCATTCGCTTACCTGTTAGATTTGGCGGCGGCACTCTAACTCAAAATCAGTGATCTTTGTCCGATCATGGCTAGAAACAGGTTGAAACAAGGACCGTTCAGTCGATAACTGCTGATATGATTTCCCCAGCTTTCATACATTTTCAACGCGTCGTGAGGAAACCCTTTGGGAGTTCCAAGTCCACAACATCACGACCTCAATCACCGTAGGCGACCTCCAGGGTTGTCCATTCGCCAAATACCCAGCCATCTCTGCGGGTGCACATGGCTGATCTTTGAGAAGGTCGTGTTTCAAGGACCCTGGGTCATGGGACGTAGTGAGTGAAACGATGTACGGTTCATGGTCGAAGTCCCATGTCAGCCTGTAGATTTGGATTCTGTCTTTGGCTGGGACATAGGCTCGAGAAGGAGATCTTGCTTTGCATTGCCATTGCAGAGTTTGGTCTACGTGTGCATCACGGTGTTAATGGCAATAGTGAGGTGGCTGCCCGGTATTACAACAGGTCGACACCAAGCTTCCCGCTCCGAGCCGGGACAGGAGGCCAAACCCCGGATACCTAAGTTTGCCAATACATCCCAACCAAGTTGTCGTTACGGGAGCGGAAACAGTCGAAGCTACGGGGTTAAAGTTCTCCAATGGGCTTCCAGACATTATACAAGCCCATAATCCGCCTAACCTCGATGACTTGATGGATCTGCCTGGAGGTGGGTATTCCCGTCAAGACGAACCTGCTTTCTCCCTATACCTTTTAATCGTCCAAAAAGTAAACGCTACGCCCTTTGTTCATGTAGCTGCAGGCGAGTCGAGGGGGGCACTCTCCGCGGGTCGCTTGCTGGTTAGCCGTGGGTTGTATGGAGTGATTATGTTCTGATAAGCCTGTTGAAGTTTGTCGTCTGGGCCAAGGATCTCTCCCAATTCTTTCTCGGATTTGATCTTGACGCCACCCCAGCCGATCTCGTCCGCAATCTTGATTTGCGTAGCCACTCTTTTGCGCTGCTCGTCCTTGGAAGACCCGATGGGTGCGCTAGCCAGGTCCGTTATGAAACGACGTCGCTCCTCCTCCTGCCATTCATGCTTGATGATAGCGTCTATGTCGGACAGTTTGGTGGCGCCCCCGGATGCCTTATCCAGCTCCTCCACCGTAAGGATAGTGTCGTCGGTGACACCACTAAAAACGAAATCTACAAACATCGGCCCATAAAGAGGCAAATGTTTGAGGATGGCCTGGCCTACTTCGCTATCCTCGAAGCCCTCCTTATGCATAGAAGGATATCGAATGAGGGAGGAGTACGCGTGACCGATACGAGCTGTGCGCACCGTATAATAGTCGTCGACACTCTGAGGCGGGGATGCCAAGCAAAGTCGAAGAAGCGAAAATGGAGGGTTACCACCTCATCACCTATCAGCAACTCATTACAGATAGGTAATCTGGCTTTTACCTGTTCTAGTGACCACGGAAGTCTTGTTGGTGGCAGCTGCGTTTTCGTCCGACTGGACATCCGAAGTGACGATGGTAGAGGCATCATTGGGAGTTTGTGTCGTGGATGTATCGGGTTTAAGGGCTTAATATCGTCAACACGCACGTAATTTTGGTCGCCTTTGAAGCAGAGCTACCCGGGTTGGCCTTGCGGGCTTTGCGCTTCTTGGGGGCTGGCGACGCCCCGTTGGTCGTCTACCGGGAGAACAACAATGTACTTTCTTGCCTTCACTACGGCTGCATTGGTTGAATGGGCCGTGATGATCAGCGTAGAGGTAAAGAACTTGGGGTTTTGAAAAACACTGACTGTACATGGCGGGAAGCTTTGCCTAAGGCCCATTCCCTGTGATGGAGCGTCGGTGTAGCAACAGAATCATTGATACGCGACACTTCTGCGGAGAAATCAATCTATTTCAGTCCGGCCACACAGATGCACATCATCACCATCACCAGCATCTACCTAGTGTCTGAGGGTGAACATTTCCAGACTTCTCGTTCTACCTGGGTAGGTACCGACCTTCTCGTAACCCATCACCTCATTTTGGCTTTTTCCCTTTTTGTCCTGTATAACTCCATAGTATCTCCCCTCCACGCCTGCCCAGGGGCAATTTCACGAAACAAGTAACGCTTTGATAGACTTCACTATGGATTCCCCATTCTCTTCTCCATACAGCCAGGCCCAAGCCCAAGCCAAACCCCAAGCCCACGGAGCCCACACCTGCCTATCCAGGGCCGTGTTCGTTCCGGCAGTAGTACAGTAACGGAAGCATTCTTTTGGTGGCAGAAAAGCTTTGGGTTAGGGTTAGAAGAGATCCCCTTACTGCACTACTGCCACAACGAACACGGCCCTTTGTTTACTCCGGGTCGACAAAGAGGTAGACAGGCGACTACCTACGAGTCCGAAAGATAAGAGTGTCCCTAATTATTACACATGCAAGACCAATAGAAGTCACGATCTGGAATTAAGGTAGTTCCTACCTCTACAGGTACCTAGTGCTCCTAAACCTTCTACACCGCATGAACAGGTACCTAGATCTTTGTCCTGGTCAACACTAACTGAAACAGCCGGAATCCCCATAAATAAGTAGCCATTGTTGAAACCCACTCCAAGATTCCATCTTACACGGTTGAACCAAAGACTGAGAGACCACCTACCTAGAGGTACCCAGAGTTAACTGAAGTTAGAGCAGGTTAAAGAATGGACGGTTGACAGCAAGCAGAACTGTAAAACTGTAAACCTCGGCCATTCGCAGCTACATCATCGTTCATCGGTAGAGGTATGACAAGTGGAATGAATTCATGAGTAGGTAGACGCCGTGAAGCATCACTCACGCACCTGTGCTTGGTCAACACTCACACTCACTATTTTACGAGTCTATGAGTCTACATGTATGACCTACATCAGCTTTACTGTAATAATGCCGACAGTGACCCGTCCTTTCGATCAGTCTACCTAGAGGTACCTTGACTGACCTACTTCTCTCTACAACGATTAGGTACTCATATGCACCTTATTCACGTCGACCATCCTCCACTCCTTATCATGGACCTTGGAGTGATCTTGCACCTTACGACAGGACCTACCTAGGTATCCACAGCATGCCGATGTTGCTCCCCATTGAACCCATACTTACCCCAAATGCAATTCACCTAGAGGTAGGTATTCATGTGAACCCGAAATGAGAACATCCCCTGATATTTCCGCGAACTCTACAACATCAATAACACCCCCGAAATCCGATGTACTTCTAACTTTCAGATTTCTACTTCCGATTTTCACTTGTGCATCCATCCCGTTACTTCCTCCCCCATTCCTTCAAGCTCCATATCCCCTTCGCTTCCTCCTTATTTCCTTAGGTGTCAAAGTTCCTTGCGGCTCCCCAACGTCGTGTCGTAAACCGGCAGCAAAAAGTGTCCAATGTCCATGCATGGCCCGTGCAAGTCAAGTTCAGTTACACCGGTGATTCTCCTCACATGCCATCGATTGTGCAGCTTTGCCCAGTAGTCCAGTATTCCAGTACGCCCAACACCCTCCTGCCAATCGCAACAAGCAGTCAAGATACTAGAATAGGTACTTGGGAAGGAGAGCCGAGTGAGCCAATCACCACAAAGACTTGACTTCAATTTACCGAGTTCTGTCCTCCCATCCTCATCATCCCCCCCACAACAAAAACAACACCAACCAAACGTCCAAAATGGGATGCCCGGTTACCTACCTACCATAGGCGAATGAAGCGAGCAAGCCTATCATAATACTGTATGTACACTACCATACCTACCTAACCAAATTGAAGCTTTGGCCTGCCTAGGTAACCAAGCTGTTGTAAATCTAGGTAAGACCCCCCCTCCCTTCCATCCCTTCGTTGAGGCTCCTGACCCACATTTGGTAGGTATCTTCGATTCAAAAGGTGTAACCATAACAAGCTTCAAGCTTCAAACCAAAGTAACCAGCCAAGCCTAGCTACGGAGCCAACGGTTCCGGAACAAAGCAAAACCAAAAAGAAACAAAAAAGGTTAACTAAAACAAAGACTAAAAAATCAAACTCCGAGTCCGAACTATTCCTGTCGGGGCATATTTCCGGCTTGGTAAAACTAGGGCCGTATCGTGTACACTACCCTACTGGACAACTGGCTGGTGGTCGACAACTGGAACATCGTGGACATCCGGTGCCGTGCTGTGCTGTGCGGTGCGGCGCTGTGCTGTACGGACGGTGCTGTGCTGTGCTGTGCTGTGCTGTGCTGTGCTGTGCTGTACTGGAAGGAGGCGAAGGGAGCGAGCTGGAGCCAGCTGGGAGGGACGGAGCCAAGCTAAGCTAAGAAGAGAGCTAAAGAAAAAACCGGTGAAGAACAGAGATTTGCGGTTAGTGTCAAAAAATCCATCGGAGCTTTTGTCCTGAAGGAAGATTTCCCTTCCAAACTCCACTTTTCAGGTACGCTGCGAATGAACGGTCGCGAGTTGTCCGCAGCCAGCTCACTTGAACCTGATTGACTAACTGACCTTGGAAGCTAACGAAGCTTTTGGAGAGAACGGTCAGGATCGATCTTGGTCGTCCACAACTGACTGGGGACCAACCACCTGGGGAAAAGGTTAGCCTACCTAGAACAACGCTGGAATCGAAGTATAGGGCCCGCTACGCCTTGCGCTATGTGTTGTTTTTGTAGACCCCCCCCGGATGGATCCTCACCCACTCTCACTCCATGGCGTGTGCTTCACCGACTAGGTGGGTCACCATACTACCGTCCACTCCATGGTGTGCGCACTACAGTGATGAGCCCCATTTCAATGGCGGAGTGAACTTCCCACTCACCTTCCCCGGGATTTGGGCCGCCGCCGCATGGCACCCACGGTAGTATGTACCACGGGGCCACCAAACCACAACGGAGATGCTAGAATCGACGCGAGTTGGGCAAAAGAGAGAAATGGGCACCGCTTAGAATGAATTATGGGCTGATGCGGCTTTAGCCTGCATTTCATCAGCTACTGCTCACTTGCGTGATTTTTCGGGACTTGCATACTGTGCTTGATTTCTGCGCGATGAGGAGCATGCGCGATGCGATGGGGTGGAGATGTGTGTATGCACATCAGCTGGATCAGTGGTTTGTTAGTAAAGTAAACGTTACCACCCCCATTGCCCTGTCATCTGTCGGCAAGATATATCATCGGGACGCGCGCGCAACGTCTGTACATAACCCAGATCCGTCCTGGACAACGGTGGACTCCCATTCGCTCCTTTTCCGATGCGATGCCAGTCTGTCCGCCATGTCAGTGGGACGCATACATCGACGATCGCGTGCATGGCATTTACTGCAGCGAGATCCCAAAAAGGCGGTACTTACAGTAGCGCAAAACAACTTTTCCCATGTGGTGATTGCCATGGTTTCGGATGCGTTTCAGATGCACGCTGAAAAAGTTGTTGCACGTCCATGAAGATGACTTCATCGCCCGGCAACATGTTCATCCGGAGACTAACGGCCGGAATGAAGATTGAAGCACGGAGCATCGTTCCCATCCACGCCTCGTCTTCTGAGGCTTGTGATTTCCACGTGCCAGCTCCAGCCTCCAGATCCAAAGGCCTTCAGGAGTTTGAGGTCGGTCGGGACCTGATCACAGCTTGGCCAAATGGTTGCCGCGGTTCGCGCGCCCAGATATCATCCAGCAGTCCCAAATCAGGGTCATATCCAAGAGCGGTCAATCTGTAAGTCATCGAGATCCCAAGTTAGTCGCTGCCACGACAAGAGTTACGTTAGCAGGGAGGAGAAGTGAGGCAGATTGCAATCAGGGCAAATAGGGCAGCCGGAATTGTCGTCCATGGAAGCTTGGCTCGTGCCACCGAGCCCAATCCCACCTTTACTCACCTCGCTTTCCGGTTTTGACTCCTCGACAAGCCCAACAATTCCATTCTAACCAGCATGCGAATTCTGCCCAACATGGCATCATGGCAATCAACCAACTCGCTCGCTCTGTCTGCGTATCGTCCGACGATTCGCATCGATAGGTCCATTGGACCACTGTAATTCCATGGTTTGGTCAAGTTCTTGAGAGCCGAGGAGTGCCGTCCAATGCATCTAGAGAACCCCTACCCACCTCACCGAAACTGAGACCCGGTACCTGAATCGGCATTCAACTTCAACTCCAGAGCCACTCGAGACCGTCTGACATCCGACATCCGTCCGTGATCCGTCACTGGACGGCAGGACCGTGATAATTACCAAAGGTCTGGTATCCAATGCTTCGGATCCCAGGCTCAGATCCCCTCGTTGCAGCGTTGTTTGTCCTGCCTATTAAGGCGGCACATTCCGCCGCCTGTGTCTCCGCCCATTTTGTCTTACCCCTTCCGCTGGGACTGACCGTGAGACAGTGGACAGTAGGATCTTCTCCCCCTCCACACCCACTCAGGAGGAGTTGCGGACTGTTGACCCACTTGTTCCCGCATTTTCCCCTGGCTCTCGATGTGGTTCCTCACCGGTCGGTCCACTTGGGCCACATTTCATCGGGAACCACTTCCCATGTCACTCTCCCTTGCCGGAGAATTTCCCACACACCCCCGACAACGTTGCAAGAGGGTCTAATCCGAGCAACTGGATCCTCCATCTGTCCACTGAGAGTGCGCCCAGCAACCCTGTACACGTAGCGTAGCGTACATCTCTAACCTGGACGTAAAAGGTTAGCGCAGTACTTCCACCATACAATATCGAGGGTTTGAATGGTGAGGAAAACCTTCATCTCAGAGCTAGGTTATGGACCCCGCTTTGTCAATTTACCGCGCTAACCTTTGTCACCCCGATGCCTCAGTTGACTGCGAGGGAGAAAGGCCAAGGTTCACTAGCTAGATCAAGCTAGCGCCATCTACCGTGACCCGCAGCTCACCAAGGGGGTCCAATTGCCATGCACCATGCTTTGGCCTTGATAATCCTCATCTGTACCATCCCCATAACCGACATCGAGAGATTAGATAGAACATGGAAATGGAGGTGGCAAAAGTACTAAAATGGGAAATGTGGATGGGGATGTGACCGACGAGAGTGACGAGGATGACCAAAACTCTTGCACATCCTTTTAAGGAGAGACATGGCTAGGTCAGGGAAGGTTCCTCGTACATGTAATCGAACCCCTGTGAGGCTGGTCGGTGGTCTTGATCCATTCTGGCGGGTTGACAGGAAATTCCCACCATCCCACCGCTCACCAGGGAGACAGGAGAAGAAAATAGCAAAGTTCGAATCCTTCAGCGAGGAATTGCATGCAAGACAACGACCATGTCGTCTCTCTGCTTCTGGTCTCGTTAGCGGCAAGCAAGCATCGAAAAGGATGTCCAAGGGTATCGTCATCGTCATCAGAACTCGTTATTTCTCGATGGGCTTAGGCCTATCTCTTTCCGGAGGACTAGGAAAATGGATTGATAGGGATGGACAATGATCCAACTAATGCCATCTCAGTCGTGAGCATCACAACTCCATCTCACCTCCCCAAGCAAGCAGTATTGGCAGCCGACTCTCAATCTATGCGATCCCCCAAGATATGGGTGGTGTAATATCGTGTGATTGGGTTAAAAACCCCGAAAGAGTTATGGCTACCATCCCTGACCCAGGTCGAGCGGGCTGCCAGGACAGGGCAAGGGGACCCCATTGCCAAGCGCGATCTACAAGTGTGATCTGTCCTAATGGTATTCAACTGTCAACAGTGAGCCATCATCTTGGCCGCGACGTGACACACGCAAGGCGAAGCCCTAACCCTTTTGATTTTTCTCTGGGAATGTGTGCATGAGGATTGGACAGAGTCTGTCAGACTCGCCGACATAACACTAGAGAGCGTGTGCAAATGCGCCTCAAATCTTTGGAGGCTTGGCGGTGGGTGTCGTTATTGAAGGCCTAGGCGGCAAAAGCAACTCTGAATGATGCCTGGATAGGCCAGGGTGTTGGTGACCGGGGAGCTATTGCCCGCATATCGCAGAGGGTTCTTTGATTTCAAGATGCAGTTGATGATGACCGGGAGTCGCTTGTAATATCGGCCCCCCTGGCGGCGATGGTCATCGAATACCTCAGGTACGTGGAGAGATTTGCCAAAGTTGGGTTAAGGTTTGGCGTTCTCGTTTCTGACGCATTTGGCGACATCGCCATCTCAAACATGTTCACATCTGCCCCCGTGGGGAAACAACCAGACGAGGTGAGGTGTGCATCATCGCGGTGTTGTTGACATTGCGCGGTTTCTGGCGGTCTGTTTCGATTCAGCGCTTTTGGCGTGCAATGAAGAGACCGATCGCACGGCAAAGTGACAGATTCAGAGCCGGTCCCCATGGCCACGTTATCGCCTGGCTAGTGACTAGTAGGTCGCGGGATGCTGATGCTCCATTGTGATGGTCGACGACTTGACCGCACAGCGGTGACGACAGCTGCGCCGTCTTGTTGGTTGACGTCGCGGTGGTCCAGGGTGCCCATGCGCCAAGCCCCGCCAAAGAGATCACCAGTGCTGGCGCCGGGGACCAAAGGAGGCACTAGTGTAGAGGCTTCACATGTCCCCGAACTGAAAGCGCTCGGGCACCATGGTTCGCGAGGGGCTGCCCCCCCAGTGGACAGCCAGTCCGAGAGAGCCAGCGCGAGCCAGCAGCGAGCCAGCTCTTGGGTAGATGGGCGCACGCTAGGATCGGAAAGCCCAGCAATCGCACTGCTCGATATGGTTTGGGCCATCATAATAACCAGGGCACCTCGTTCCTGGTCGGCGATCAATGCATCCCAATGCATCCAACCCCAGCCAGATCCGAGCGTGCTTGGGCCATTTTCTGTTTCGATCAGCTTTACACCCCCCGGGGTGAGCAAAGGACCACCACAAAAAAAGGGGGCTCCGAATGAACACCTGCCCTTGAGCAGAAAAAAGCAACGAATGCCTTAGCACCAAGCCCTGAGATTACCACGACCACCCTTCTGTGAAGTCCGTCAGCGCTGAACCTCCCTCACCTCCTTTGTCAATCTCTCGTCGGTATCCGTAGAGGCAGGTGCTTAACCGCAATGGAAAGGAAACACAAACACAGGTCAACCATCGGTGGCAGGGATACCCCATCAAATCCTTCCGCACTCTCGCACGCACGAGACGAGAATGGAGAGGGAGAGAAGAGCCGGGCGACCTCCGGAGGCGGCTGCAGCAAACAGGGCGCCTTCACACCAGAAAGGCGGTTCCAAAGGGCGACACGGCCCAACAGCGACAAAACCATGGATGGGCCCAAAGCGCTCTTGTAACATGATGCGAAGAGCTCGTTTGGGATGCTTAGGAAAATCCCAGAAGGACTCACCGGTGTTGTGAGAGAAAAGACCACCAAAATAGGTTTCCTGTGCAAGCCAAGCCACCGAGCGATAGATGGCGGGTGAGAGCCTAGCTGGGCCGAAGGGCCGCAGAGGGAGCATGCTTTGCGGCAGGCAGTCTCCATTGTGAGAGACATTATCTTCCTTCAGCTTGCCATGCCGCTTATTCATGAAAAAGTGCAGCTCCAGCCGGGCAAATGTTCCCAATCGCAGAGCATCTTCGGCACCGAACTGCTTGTGTGCACCAAGTACCTATGCACAGAAGGGGATGTGAATGGCCACACTCATCAAGGTGTACAAAAAAAAACAGGAGGCGGTCTCGGGCCCGTGTTTGGGGTGGGCAAAGTCGATGGAGTTGCACTCATCTCCCAGTCATGCCCGTTTTGGGACTGTGTGAACGTCGGACTGGGAATCCACGTGTTAACGTCCGCTCGCCCTCCTCTGTTCTGACCGCTTGAGCCAGTGGGCTTAGTGTAGAAGCCGCAAGCACCATGCCGTTTCGATCTGTGGAGTAAGCAGCCTGTCCTTCCCACCCTGAGAGCTGCCGCATGCCTTCCGTCTGGATGAGATTTACAACGAGACCCCACGCATTTGCCCCTGTCAACGATCCGGTGTCCATCCACACTCGTCGGAAACAGTTCGTGGCCGTGACTGCTCAGTGTTCAGAGCGTAACTTTCTGTCTACCCATCATCCCAGCTGTCAGAATGAGCATGAGATCCGTGATATCCCGGTCGTCGAGGGAGAAAGCAACACTACGCGATCGTTATAGCTCCCATGCTGGGCCCGTAAAACGTTACAGCGGTTGCCCGCTGCCATCGGCTCGATTTAACTCCGCACTTGTTATTCATTTCTTTCCCGACAAGGCCTCATGGAGATCACCTAACTGATGGCGGTCCTCCCTGCCGTATAGCATGTACCGATACGGCGAGTCATGGGGGACACCTCCCGATAGAGCGCGTTTGCATCATGTCATGTATCTCGCCGGCTGGCCAGAACGTTTGCTTGGTCCGGGAAGATTCAACCCGGATATCTGCGTCTGAACGAAGAGACACGCGGGGACGAGCATGATCATGCTTCAAATCTGTGGAGTCTCCCGGTGCTTTGGTTATGGTTGAGTCGTAGAGTTTTGGCTAGGGGTTCATCTCGGCGGTTGGCAGTGCCCTGGCCGTTTCGTCCTCCGTTTTTCTTTTTTCTTCAGAAATCGGTTGTGGTCGAGCCGCTGGATCCTGATCATCAGCGGAACCAAGAAATGCATGCTGAGACACACTGCCGGTCGAAACAACGCGGATCGGACGGCCAATCAGATTGGCAACGTAGCAATACCGTTTCCCACATACTGCTGCTCTTTTACCGCTCCGTTTGAGCGCGATGCGCCCTCCCGCTACTACCCACCCCACCCCACCGTATCTGTTGATTCTGGAACGGTCCTTGACTCAGAGGAACAAAACCATACCAGCAGGCTGTGGCCCTCCAGCAGAAACGTGATCTAGCCGATTGTTCCTTGTAATGAGACCATGCAGGCACAAGGAATAAGATCCGGTATCGCTCACACAACGGAATCATGTCTGAGATTTAGCATTCGAGGCACCCGCCGTGGCATGGTGAAGGGTGCTGGAAAGCGACATAAGGTTTTGGCCTTGTATTTGACGAGCAGCACGTTGAAGAAACCGATCACGATGCCACCGTCCAGCCCCGTGATAGCACCGATATGAGTGTTCGGAGTATTTGTCGTCGAGAAGCCTGACGAGGTCTTCCATGTTGGTGGCGTGTATAGGCTGACGATCGGGGCGAAGGTCCGCTTCCTGGGTTCTATCAAACTTGCCCGAGTGATGTTGAGAGAAACAGATAAGCGGCACTGTCTTTGGGGAGAAGAGAGCAGGGCAAGACTTTGTTTCCCCAATTTGACACTGGAACATGGTGACACCGAGGCGCTGCGGTTCCCGCTGAGCTGTGTCATACGGACGTAAGAGCTCGTAATCGGCAGCGCATACACAATATATAGTGCTCGCATTACTGCAGGATCGAGGGGGGAGAGGAGATGAAGTGGGCTTGCGGCTACGTGCAGGTTGAGATGACAGTAGTTAGCGCATTTTCGAGGTACGGCAGGTGCTGCGATGAAGTCGGAGCAGTGTTTACGCATGTTGCCACACCCGGCACTGGAAACGTGTTGCGCAGCTCGACAGAGCGTACCTGGCTTCGTTGCAGGAATACCGAAATGAAGTCTGAGGGCATGCATGGTCTGAAGGCTCTATCAATCATCATAAGCAGAGTCGATGACGAGAACCACAATAACACAACGGCCTGATTGGCACTTGCCGGACATACGAAAGGCGCGTGTTGATAAGAAAAGCGAGAGAAAAGCTTGTTAGCTGACCCGAGGAATACAAGATGGTGTTTCAGGAGCCGATGAGGCGCACCGCACGCAGATGGACGCTCTATCGGAAATCGACATGTGTGTACTAAGAAGAGGGCGCCTGCGCCTGCGTACGCGTCTGCATTGGTGGTGAAACTTGACATTGCGAGGTACTCGATAAGTCCGGGATTGGAGGTTGGGTACGGCCGTTGATGTGTTTCAAGCCTGGTCTCCACGATTGACTGCCCATATAGGGTGGCAGACAAGGTCGATCCAGTCGGCATGCGAACCCTGACAGCCAAAGCCAGGTCGGCCCTGGTGTGGTGAAGCTGTGGCGGAAGCCCTAATCGTCATAACATGCCTTTTGGCTGACTCGAGGATCGGCAACCGGTTAGCGGGGCGCGTTCCCGCCGTCTTGATGTGTCCCGTTGATGGGTTGAAAGGCGTGTCGATTTGCCGTACGCACATGGCATTCAGCAAGTTGCAGATCGCCAGAGAGTTGCCACGCTGGATCAAGCCCAAACTGGCCTGAAAGACTCGGCACAGGGTTGCAATTTCAGTGTGTGTGTGTGTGTCGGTGGCGGCTCGCAATGCGGAGGCGCATCTGACAACGGACTCGGCCGACCATGCCGGACGGTAACAAGGCTGTGCCTGGCAACCTGCCAATTCAGCGATAAAAATCCCGGTAAGTGCCTGTAGTGTAGTGTAGAGCTCGTGGATGGCCGGTTCATCCAAACGGGCGGAATAGGCCACGTTCCTGGGTGGTCAAGCAGTAAACCCTTTTCTCAGAAAAGGATTTCACATCAGGAAGCAGTCTCCTGGAAGAAGCGGTTAGCATCCTGATCCGAGGACGAATCAAGCGACGAAAGAGCGCGTGGGAGCGGCGCGTTCGGTACGTACCTGTACTGTGGTGGGTGCAGGACATGGGACAGACAGCAGAGTTGCGAAATCTGCGACATGTTGCCCTGGTGGTTGCACCGGATCACTACCGAACGAGATCTGCGCTAGTGAATTCTTGGTAGTTTGTCGAGGCATGTCAGCCACTAGAACTGCTTTAGGTTGTAAGTCGACCTAGACCACCAGCCTGGAAATCAGTCAGATGAAAAGCTGATGACAATGTACTTTCAGGATCTTTACCCAGGGGCAGGTCCAATTGCTACACCAAGGCGAGGACGGGAATCATGGCGAGAATCCAGCAATATGGTTCAAGCAGGCCTACGAACCTGGGCTGTCGAGGTACTGTACAGTTGCAGTGCACAATGTGGACGGCGGTGCGACCTACCCAAGGGTCCTTCCTGTGTATGTACAATACTGACCGGTATTGTACAGCACCAGTCGAGTGCCTCTTCAGCGACAGGGGGGGCAGTGACCTGGGGTAGCAGCATGCATAGGCTAAAAATCGCTTCTTTACCCTGCCATTCCAAGAGCCCTACTGACGGGATGATACATGCCTTCAGATTGAATCGAGCACCTTGCCGCAATAAGGCTGCTAGCCTTGGGTCCTCGCATACCCAGTGGTTGGATCGTGGAGATCTTGCTGGGACGGCAAGGTGCAAAGGAAGCGCAGACAGAGAGAGCATCAAGCACGACGCATGTCGGGAACGTGTGGGATCTGGGCTGCACGCTTTCTCCTGAGTACGGCCGTAGGATCGTGGCGAGAGAGCAGAGAGAGAGAGCGAGAGAGAGAGACTCGAGAGACTACCAAAATGGACATGGAGCTTTGAGTGCTTGCAGCAGTCTGTCTGCTGGTCTGGGATACTGCCTGCACGACTGTTTGGAGTCTTGATCCCCCCTCTACACTATCATCAGCAGCGACCGACTGATCCCGACATCTTGGGTGTCCCTGGTCGCCATTTCCCGTCCCTGGGCAGTCCCCTGGTGCTGTGGTGGTGCAAAGGCTGCAACTTGACTTCAGCCATGAATAGCTCGACGATTGAGTGGACAGGAGCACTTTGTTGGCATTTGACGTTTTTGCCCTTTTTGTGCAATGGCGATGCCGTCCGTCTGTCATTCCCTGGCTAGCGTCGTGTTCGTGATCAGGCTTGCTGACGTCGCCGTCCAGTGGAAATCGGTGCCGAGCACTACCTCTTCTGTTCGTGTTGCAGTCCCGACATCGTTTCTCGTCTTACGACCCGGGAGATGAAAGGCGAGGGTGATGGCTTGGCTACGTCTGCGTAACATGTCGCGCTTGTTCCGTCTCGAAATAGGGTCTTTTGATTGTGTCTTGATCAAGTGCGAGGGGACGGGAAAAGTAAGGGCACAAAAAGAAGAAAAAAAGAATGGAAAAAAAGAAAAAAAAAGAAAAAGGGACGAAAACAGAAAATGTGGTGGGGGTTCGAGCAATGGCGAACGGTCAGTGGCCAATGTCGAGAATGGAATGGAATTGTCCACTGAAAGATTTGGACGACGTCCGACGAGACAACTGAAGCGGGAAGGAAGAACTGAATGCAGTCAGGGTCTGGTTTGGCAATCAGATGAACTGCCAAGTGGAAGTGGGTTCATTTGGGAACTGGCGGCTGACAAAGGACCGTCACGAGCCGTCGGTGCCTGATTTCATCTGAGTTTGATTGGATACAGGGGTAGTTCTAAGTGGGTCCTTCTTCCTAGGTACTCGACGGAAGCTGCAGCTCAAGCAGGCAGCTTGCCGGAAGAACCACTCACTGCATGAGCGCGCCTTCCTCACCATGAGCTTCAAAGTCTGATCGCCGCGATGCCCTGCCTGATGTGAACGAACCACAAAGATGGCGGGGAAGGAGCTCAGTCAGAGTTTTCACGAGATGACGAATGCTTCATCGAATGACTGGATGGCAGGCAGGTGCGACAATGACCACCACCCGCACTGCAGTTGGCAAAAGGGAGAGAGAGAGAGAGAGAGAGAGAGTCCATCCGTCTGCGGCAGACCGCCCATTTCTGTGACTGACGGCAGCTGAGGTGGTGGGTGGCCATTGGTTGTTCAATGCGCCTTTGTTCGGCAGCATCACCACTTGGATGTCAATGTCACTCTCTCCGTCATGACCGAGATTTGGACGTTACCTGCCACCACCCAACTGCCAGTGCCAGCGCCGACAACTCCCACTGCTACACCAGCATCCCGAACTACCGAAATGATTTGTCTTCTCGGCAACCACACTGCGCAGGCGGGAGGCTGGAGGCGGCACTCCCGGCGACGGCAGCAACCTTGATGACGACCACGAGCACCACCACCGCCACCAGGACCGTTGTAGGCAGGAAAGAGTAGAGAAAGAGGAGGAGAGGAGGGAGGGAGAACTTGACAGATCCAGAGACGGGATGCTGGAATGGTACCCGACGAGACGACTGCCAGTCCCAGGACCAGTCCCAGGACCAGTACCAGTGCTACGGATGAGCAACGGCCCCTTGCGGCTCGGTCACCTTTCGCGATACACAAGCCCGACAGGCAATGGACTATTCCCACCAGGCCCCCCGGCACCGATTGCTTGTCGGGCATCCTGGCAACCTTTTGGCCTCCGAGCAGCATTGCCCGTCTGGTGGTCTACCAGCAGTATCTCTCCCATCGGCCAGCTGCGGGTTCACGCTGCGCTGCTGCTGCTGCTGCTGTTGTTGTTGTTGTACTTCATCAGCTGCTGCGAGTGTTGCCTCCATTTGCGTCTCTGTCTCCGTCTCTGTGGTCCGCCCACCCACAGCACCCGGCACCCAGCACACATACCATCCATACACACACAAGGCCTGGCAGGTGTCCATGGCGGGGAACTCCATGGCAGATGGATGCTGGACAAGGAAAACAATCCAAGCTGCACCCTCGAGAGGATATGGAAATGGTATTCATCAAGAGAGACCAGAAATTCACCAACGTACGTCCGTATCAGCCACAGTCCAATACTGCTTGTTCAACCACACCTGTGGTCTGCATTTCGTCAGTCCCCCCCCATCTTGCCCCAAGCCTGACCCCTGGAGAGAGACCTCAAGAGACATACAGCCAAGACGGAACCCTCCAGTACAGTTGCAGTTGCAGTTGATCCAGACGCAAATGGACGTCGGGCATGTAGTAGTGTAGTGGGTGATGTGGTGCTAACGTTGGGAAAATGTCAACCCCAGCCAGACCCAAGCCGTCCACCACAGGTCTAGTACAGCTACATACAGAACATGCAGCGACAAGAGCGCCTCCCACCTTATTTGCGACGATGGCTTGCTGCTCCAGCCCGGCCCCAAGAGCAGAAACCGCCGTCTTGAAGCCTCATCCATACCGTCATGGTCAGGTTGGGGTGGCCAAGAGCAACTCCCATCCACATGGTTGCCGATATGCTTGCTGAGGATGATGGGGTTGAGGATGTGATGCGCTGCGTCTTCATCACTCCAGAGCTGCCTCTCCCCGTCTCACTCCTTCCTTGTCGAGTCACCAACTGCGTGCCGGGATGCCTTTCCCAGGAGCTACCGTACTCGCGTACCTCATCTCCCCCTCGGGTACTGTTCCATACCCAGTCAGTGTACTCACTGCAACAGAACTCCCACGTTGACACCATCATCGGTTCCTTATATCTTGTGATCCGGCCCTCTCCTTCCTCCCATATCTCATCATTCCACCTGGCTAGATATCATCCTCTGTCTTGTCTCGGCTATTGTGTCTGGAAATCACACCAACGCCGTCCTCTGCCAGACTGCCACCACGCTCTTTGGCCCAACTGCCCGACATCTGCCACATACACCCTCTCGAGACCAAACGTCTTCGCGTGCTGAGAGCAGGCGAAGAGACGACAGTACCCCCGCTCTTCAGGTGAATCTCGACTCCGGCAAGGCAGCCACCTGTGGATTGCGATTCGTCCTGTACCCCCCGTACAAACAAGTCCTGCGCAGACAATGTGTGTCGCGTGCCAGTAACTAAGCACCGACAAGACATAGAGCTACTGCTAGGTGGCAAGAATATCGTCTTTTGCAAACTTGAGGGCGAAAAAAACTTGGCAACAACATCGACAATCCAAAGCCAGCCGGTACGTTCCTTTTCCCGGTCATGCCCCATTCCACACACACACACTATTGCCCATCCGCTGCGCAGTTGCGTTGCTGCATCCCAACACGACGGGCCAGACGCCGTGGGATTTTGGCGCATATTTGCATGGGCTTTTGGCGCGATTCTTTAGCGGCCAAGTCCATGCGCTAGGAATTACACGCGCGCTTGTGTGCTTTCGAGATGACAGCAGCAGCAGCAGCAGATGGGGCTCGGATAGGACCCAAATTCCAGTATCCCGAGTCACGAAACAGAAGCTACTGCGTATTGTTTTTTGTTTTTGGCAGACAGACGGGGGGGAGGCGGGTCAACTATCGGCAAATCTGTCTCTGGATGGAAGCAACCACCGTTTCTGCCATGAGATGATGGCATGAACCCTAGCATGTAACCCCCCTTTGCAGCATGCACGGGGGAGGCATGATCTTTGTGCCTCCCACGGCGCAGTTGCAGCTCCGTGGGATTTCCGATGATCCCCTTCTGTCGACCTTCTAGCACACCCAATCGCTTTGGACGGATGGCAGTGGAATGCTCGCTGACCAATCAGGCCTACAGGCTGCCTCAAGCTGCCCTCTTCTTCTCGCAAAGTCGTCGGCGCGCACCCTTCCCAGCTGGACAGCAGACGGAGCACATTCTTCTTGGCAGCGCTCATCAGATCGTGTACAGTCTACTCGCTCGCTCGGAGCGCTCAAGGCCGTATTGGTCGGTGGTGCGAAGCGGCGGGTCCCGGAAAAAAGCACCAGAATTTGGCAGAGAATCATTTGCGCATCTCCCTTGGACGGCGCATCACCATCATCGAGCGAGATCTCGGTCCTATCTTGGTAGCGAGGCGGCAGATTGCAAGTACACAAGACCTGGGATCACAGGGTTGAAATCACCGCTGCAGCAGCATCGATTGGGCCTACGCAGATCGACACCTACCAGAGCTCCCCGGTTCGTTCCCCATCAGCAGCAACGTCCAATGATGGCTCTGGCTAATACGCCTCGCAGACCCATCTAACCCATCCCTGCGCGCCCAAGCCCAGCCCTTCCGCTCCGCTTACACAGAACCCATCTATCCCTCCATCCCTGTTCAGCGACCCCCTGCTGCTGGCCCGTCTTTCGAGACCCCCCCTGCCCCTAGTTCGCGGCTACATTCACCCCCTCGCCTTGGGTGTTCACGTCCACTTACACGGCGCTAGTCTTCCTCATTCAGGTCAGCTTCCCCATTCCAGTCTTGTCCCCTGGCTTTTGCGCTTGGAGGGATCCTTGCCCTCACATTTGCCCACTCTGTTACATTTTTGCTTTTGTTTTTTTTTGCAGTGCTTTTTTTGCATGCCTTTTTTGTTGTCATTTTTTTATCATATTTTATTGAATTTATGGTCATGTTGCGGTTTTTTTTTTTTTTTTTTTCAACCGACTTGGTATATGAACGAGCCTTTTGTCCGTAACCCCTAGCATTTGCATATTTCCGGGCTAGTTGAGCCAACCTCGTTTTCCCCCGTCACCAGTCACACTTGTCACTCACTGAACTGGACCAGAAGAGCGAGGTCACTGGGTACGTTGACCTTACACCCCGCCCAGCGGTGGTGATCTCCCCGATGTCCAATTACCCTTGCATGATTGGCATGTCCCCCTCCAAAGACAACAACATAACAACAATCTTGAATTAAACGGCCGGACCAGTTTGAGTTCCGACGAGCCCCCCCCTGTCTACCCGCTTTCCACTCCCTCTCCACTCTGATCTACCTGGCCTTCCGACGTCGTCATCTGCCGGCTTGACAAGGTGAAAGCACAGCTGCTGCACCCAGGCCGGAGATAGCACGCATCCAACATCGAGATGCATACCCACTTGTATCTACAGACAGGGACAAGGTAGCCTCCCCATACGGAGTGGAGACGAGCCGGACGGGTGATGTGCGACTTGCCGTCATGTTCCCCTTCTTAGATCTCAGACATCCTCCATTCCTGGCCCTGACTCTTCATTCCTATATACTTGCCCAGCAATGAACGGTTTTGATGGTCCGTTCCCCCGATCCCTTTTCTACACATAACACCTCCCTCAAAGACACGCAAAGCTTCTTAAACCCAGGAGAAACCAAGTGTCTCGTCGCTGTCTTGAATACCATTCATTATCCACACGCTCTCTCGTTTGCTTCTCTTGCTCTCCCTCTTTCTCGCCGCTCTGACACGCCAGTTATGCGAACAGGTTCGGGATAGCTGCATCAAATCAAATCTCACCCCAAGCTTCAACAATTCAACGTACCAAGGTAGCGCTTCCGACGGCAACGGCTCATCATCCGCCAGTCCAACAGCCAGCAAATAAAGTGCTAGAGACTTTCGTGTACGTTCTCACCATCTCGGTCTCCCTTTTATCAGTGTCATTCCATTCCTCCTCTTTCCTCCTCTTGGGTCCTAACACCAGTGCTGATTGCCTCTCCACCGCTAGCATCTATCGCAAACTCATCACATCTCTACGCGGCTCCGCGAAAAAAATACCCATCACAAACTACAGTCATCTCAAATCAGTTTGAATGTCGTCCCTCAAGTTCCAACAGCCTGTATACAAGGTGTACGAGGTAAGTCAGCCTAGAGTCAATACGTGACCGACAGCGCCGCCACCCGCACCTCGGCCTGAGACTCGAGGCTAACACATGTTCTCACTTTGACACAGCCCGGCTATCATCCGCAACGGACCATAATAGTCGACGAGCAAATCGACTCTCCGGAGACACTGACGATTCGGCTAGAGGAAGAAGCAGCAGCACGTAACGGTGGGGACCTCGACGGGAATTCCCCGAATGGTCTTCTGCCCATGGCTGCCTACAAGACTCACCTGCAAGGTGTGTACCTACCATCTATACCACTGCCCATATCCTGTACAAGTGCTAATCCGGCCATGTTTGCTTGTAGGGTATGCAGAGTCCACATACCCGCCGTACGCGTCACAGCCATTTGCTTCACAACAGACCGAAAATGCCGCCTCCATTAACCAGCTTGCCTTTGCGGCCAATAACGCCGTAACAGGTCAATACCTACCTCAGACGAGCTCCAACATCACGGTCCTCTCTTGCCATCCCGGCACTGGAACGTACGGCACAAAGGTCGCTCTCAGAGTCTCCAGTCAATACGATATCCTTTCCGGGACCATGGCAGCATCAACACCCTACGTCTCCATCAGCTTTGGCTCTCAAAGATGCCCAGCGCATGTTCAGCGAGGATCTCCAGATGCGAACGGCTCCTGCATCTACGTTGTCACGGCCGATGCGCCTGAATTTCTGTCAACAGGATGCCCATCGCTCAGCAACGTGCCCCTGTCTTTGCTTGTTGAGACCGCCAACGGCAGCGAAATTGCGCGAGTACCAAACGCCGGCATGTTCTCCTACAGCGATGGTCAGGGTGGAGTTGGTAGTATTGGAGGTTCCGGTGCCGGGAGCCCGCCTGACCTGGATAGCCCGAAAGATCGATCACCCTCCCACCGAGCAAGCCCACCAACACACCATGGGCTTGAGGGGGAGTCGGCTACAACAACGTATGGTTTCCCTCCTGGCGTCTCGCCGACACAAGCACAGACCTACGGCCACAACACCAACAGCATGCTTGGGGCTTACCGAAGCGGGTCCTTCTCTGAGCATTACTCCCGGACAGGGCCAGTCCTGCGCTCACCGCATGGTTCAGGATGGGGATTTGGAGGACATATGGAGTCGATCCGAAGCCCGGCAACCACCATTCCTCATACTTCCCACACAGGATTGACCCGCACCAGTTTGTCGAGTATCAGCTCGTCATCTAGCGCACCGACCCTCACAAGAACAAGCACGATTCCTCAGCAAGGGGGCTCTGGTGGACATGGCGGCAATGGATACGGATACCCCTTGTATCAGAACAAGGCCACGCTCAACATTGTCGGTGACCTTGGGTCCATGGCGGAGAACTGGACCCAGGAAGAGTTTGAGAACAAGCGAAGGATCGTCATGTTCGACAAGTCACAACACGGTGCCGTTCTCACCACCAGATTCAAGCCCGTCAACGTGACGGAGAGGCCTTCAGGCGCCATTTGCATTAGCTGCATCTGGTGGGCTGAGAAGCAGGAGTGCTATGTCACATCGGTGGATACCATCCATTTGCTTGAGCAACTAGTTGCGGCGCCAAATCGATTCTCGGTGGAGGAGAGGAACCGAATCCGAAGGAACCTCGAAGGATTCCGCCCCTTGACGGTCAGCAAACAAAAGCCCGACAGCGAGGAGTTCTTCAAGGTCATCATGCAGTTCGGTAACCCCAAGCCGAGAAATATTGAGAAGGATATCAAGGTGTTTGCGTGGAAGATCTTGGATCAGGCGTTGAAGAAGATCATCTCCAAGTACAGCACTTCGCCATCGGCCCTCAGCATTCCCGCCGCACCATCTGCAACTGGTCCCCTGTACGGCCTGCCACCCACACCGAGCACAGTCTCGTCTACCGATCAGTCTTCAACGGGCTACATGGGTGCCAGTCACCATCTCGCCGACTCACTGGCAAGTCCACGGCCTCTTGGCGGTGCCTCCTCATGGACGCCGTACGGGACTTCGGGCAGGCCCATGTCGCCATCACGACAAACCAGCTCCCCCATGTCGGTACCCGGCCTCCGCATCTCGACCCTTTCGGGCGTGTATGACAACAGGGGATCCACACAAAGCCTTTCATCGCCGTATGGTATGACGAGTTCAACACAGCATAGCCCCCATTCGCATCATGCCCACGGCAATTACGTACAGTCCGGGGTGTCGGTATCACAAGGGCCCCGCGCATGGGATTCCAGCTATGGTGTGACGGATAGCTATGGCGCCGCACAAACCAGCCATACCCATAGCCAGGTTTATGGTGGCGGAGCCTATGCGGATGTACACCGCGCCTAAAGCGGTAATCCGACATGATAGCCTTTTCTGCCTAGCGATCAAGAAGCCAAGTGCAACAGGCATCTTTGGGCATTCTCTCGGCGAGCAGAAGCTAGCGGTCGCCCCCTCGTGAGTCATTTGCACAGCGGCCTTGCAGTGGGGTTGCAGCGGGCAATGATAATACGAAGCAACCTCCATCGCAAGCTTTGCTTCAAACGACGTATAAATCTTGATATCAAATACTCCGTCTACAACCCACCGGAGGCGATCTTAAGGGTCTGGTAATCGCATCTTGCCATGTTCAATCGCACGATTGTTGGCTGCCTCAAGTACCAGTCCCACGCGGAGTGTTTCCTTCCTCTGATACGGCATTCTGGGAGTGGAGTGGGAAATGATCAGCTGGCTGGTGGCACCCACCAATCACGGTGCGACTCAACTCACCCTTTTCGGAGGCCAAGACCTCTCGGGGTCATCCCGAGGCCATTTTGCATCCTACATTGCCGATCACCCTCGCCTTCGCATTGCTATCAAGAAGAAGGAATGCAAATGATGGAACTGACGGGGTTCAAGCGGACGATTCTACCATTATTATGGTGGCACCGAATCCAACCCAGCAAAATGTCGCTTATCTATCCGAATACCGAGGTGCACTATCGGTCATGGATTTCGGCATTCTTTCTACGTTTTCGAAGTGGGTGTGCGATGCATGTCCCCCGTGGGTTGGGTGTGTGACATGCATGGCATGCGCTCGGTGCCGTCGCAAGCAATCTGCCTTCTGCACTGCATAGCGACAGACTACTGCATGTCCCAAGGCGCAAGGCGCATAACGGGAAGCAAGCAAGCAATCAAGCAGGCTAGCAGATTACAATGGGCGCTTTTTTTTCTTCCCTTCTGTTGTACTACTGCTACTGGGCTTTTCTTCTTCATCATCTTTTTTGTCATTACATGCTTACGCGCGGCGGGTGTTGGGGCGATGAGGGGAGGCGGTGATATACCCTGCTTTTGCATCTTACTCATGAAGATTTTGTCAACGATTTTTTTACTTTTCATACTGTTATTTTTCTCGGATATGACGACGTGTTGGATGGTTGGTTGGTTGGTTGGTTGGTCGGATCTACTCTGGTGTTTTTGGACTCGGTGTGGCTTTTTCGTTTCTTTTTCTTTTTTTTCTGGATGATTTTGGATTGAAGGTTGTAATTGAGGCGAAATCCACCTACCTACCTACCTACCAGGTTTTCATATGATGTATGTTTGTACTCTAGTTCTTACCGATCGATTTAGCTACTGATACTAAGGCAAGCGGGTTTTGGGATGTATGGAATCTAATTCATGAGATATCTTCAACTTGTTTACATTGCATCCTTTGCATGAAAGCGTGAAAAGTGAATTCATCGCATGTGCTGGTTATTATTGTTTTCTTTCCTTTTTTTTTTTCTCATTCAAGCATCTCTCCCTCTTTCTTTCTGTTCTCTCTCTCTCTCTCTGTTTTTTTTTCTGGCATCTCAGCCACAACCCTTAGCAGTTTCCTCTGGAAGCCAATCCGCCCGATCCGTCCGCACTCCGTGGCGGTGGCATCTCCATCCAGACCGGATCGGATTGGGCTCAGCCCGTCCGTACTTGGCGGAAGCTGTATTCGAGATAAATCCCCGGCCGGCCCGCCCGGGCCGCCAATAATTAATGTCCGGATCTTTTGCTTTCCCATTATCGATTTATTGACGCTGTCGACACTAATTGACACTATTGACACTGCGCCGAGCCGGCCGGCAAGCAACCCCATCGTAGATCCCAAAGGAGCTCATAAAGAATTGATTGATAGTACCTTTGCCAGAATGTCGAAAGGAAACAATCAACCACTTCCGCCACCAAAAAAAAAAAAAAAAAAGAAAAAAAAGAAAAGGCAAGAACGAAAGAAACCCCATTGTCGTCAATGACCTAAGCTGCTATCAATTGATACCCAAAGCCACCTCAGGATCGAACAAACAAACAGTGCGGGGCCGGTATCCATCCGTTCGTCCCTACCTACCTACCTACCTACCTACCTACCTACTGTACTTTATTATTAGACCCGGAATTCTTTGTTCCCTCCCCAGGCACCACTGCACTGCACTGCACTGTCTCGTCTCGTCTCGAACTATCAAGGGCAAACATACCTCTACCTACCTACCTACCTACCTACCTACCTGTCCACTACCTACGCTACCTACCTACCTAAGGAACCTAGACGAATCGGACCAACCTGGAGCCTCGGGTAGGTAGACAGACAACCCTTCCCAGCAGCAATCCCAAGTGTCTATACATCTAGGTATTCATCCCCTTGGAGGTACCTACCTATGCAATAGGTTCGAGAAGGGGGAACATATATTACGGTCATGAGTTCTAGGACTAGGACAATGCAGATGCGTTTTCAAAAGGATCTCAAGTACTTTGAAAAGAAAAGCGTGCGATGGGTTAAGAAAGAAGTTCGTTCAACGTTATGTGCTACTGTATGCGACCTAGACTGAACTGCTAGAGAGCTGGAAAAAAGGAGATGTCATAGCTCGTAACTCCTGGTGTGCATCATGATCTGACAACGCAAGCAAGGAAGATGAGGACCGAAAAAAGAAAAAAGAAATGCATAAAGCGCGCTAGAGAGATAGAACAGGAAAAGGAGAGAAAAGGAAGAAGTAACCAAAAGCAAAAGGCCGCCCGCGTGCGACAAAAGAAACGAAGAGTGCAATGTCCGATATCCGACCCATGACTTGACCCAAATCCCAATCAAACAAACCAAAGAAACACGATCAAAGAATTGCTCCCCTCAACCCCATCATTAAGTCCATTCCACCACGAGACCCGCCCCCTAAGAACTACTCACACTATTCCTCTTGCTCCTCCCCGACATCCCCCAAAGACTCCACGAATCGCTTCGAGTCTTGGCCTTTGGCTTTGATGGTGCCTGCTGCTCCTGTCCCTTTGCCCCATCCTTCCCTCCATCCTTTCTGTCTCCCTTCCCTCCTGACCAGAGTCCCTTCCCAGCATCCGGTGTCTCAGCCGGCGACGGTTCCTGAGTCTCTCCCTGAACTTCCGCAATAGTTGCAACCGAAACATCTGTCTTCCCTTTTGAGTCCCCTTTCGCCCCATTTGCATTTGCATTTCCATCGGCAGCGGAAGCAGCGGCGAACGCGGCGAGAGGGGGGTGCGTGCTGAGAGCGGGGAGAATGGAAACATTGGTGATCTGGGCGTCGGGATTACTCCCATCTCCAGGACTCTCGATAGGCGCGGATGGGTTCTGTACTTGTGTGTTACTACCATCAGGCTGCTGGTCAAGAAAAAACTGCTCTGCGCCTTCACCTGGAATCGTGTTGGAGGTGGTGGTGATGAATGGTCCCGAAGCTGAGACGGGTTTTGTGACGGCAGTAGGAGGAACCGCGGGTGGTTGCTCGGAGGCTACTTCGGTAGAGGCGAGCTCGGTAGGTTCGGCGGGTTCGGCGGGTAGGGTGGAAGGATCGGTGACGGTGTCGCTACCGGTGCTCACAGCGTTGTTGACCGCGTCCTTGACGGAGCTGGTGACGGAGCTGACCGCGTTCAACGCCTTGTCCAGGGCTTCATCAGCGGCGGAAGCAATGGCGGAAGCTTCGTTGGTGATGGCTTCCTTGACGCTTTCGGTGCTGTTGTTCGCTTTGTCCTTGCCGTCTTCGTCCTTAGCTCCAACCTCGACTGCATCGTCCGCAACCTGCTTGTCTTGCTCTTCTTCACTGACACCCTTGACATCAACCTGTCCACCATCACCGTTTACCTTCTCATCGTCATCCCCAGAAGCATCACCCCCTTTCCCGGCACCATCACCATTACCATGTGCCTCCTTGCCGTCCTTTCCATCCTTCCCTCCCACCCCTGGAAACAACCAGCTAGTGGCACTCCAGTTTCCATTACCACTACCGCTTCCCTGACTTCCCGCAATCTCTGGTCCGCCAACAGTCGACGTCACCGCTTCGGGAATGGTCTTTGGTACTGCAGCCGCAGCAGGTGCTGCTGCAGCGACTACCGGCGGGGCAGGTCCATGAGCAGCACTCGTGTTCCTCCTCTTCTTACCAAGCGGAAATCCCCATCCACCAGACTTGCCAGTGCTTGTCTGGCTCTGGCTCAGCGCTTGAATGGCAGCGTCGTTGGTGGTAGTTGACGAGGAAGTAGACGGTCGGAGTTCGGGATCGGATTTGACCGAGTTGAGAGCTCGTTGGGTCAGCTGATCCGGTTCAGCGGCGGTGGCGGCGACGGCGGGAGACTGAGACTCGGTGGTTGGTTCAGTAGAGGTCAACTGTGTCTTGGACTGGGCTGCCTCGGGGTTGGGCTGGACGGCGGAAGCGGAAGTGGCGTGAGGTAGCTGTTCGGGGCTTGAACCTGATGTCGCTGTCGGGAAACCCTTGATACTAGCCTTGCTGGCCTTGGAAGTCAAGGTCTTCTTAGCGTCATCCTTCTTGCTCTTGTCCTTGTCGGCGGTCTTGTCCTTGTCAGCAGCCTTCTTCTTGTTCTTCCGTACTCCTAGCCATGATCCCCAACCACCTTCAGAGGGAGTCTGTTGTCCTGGCGGCTTGTCATCTGCCTTGGCAGAGGGAAGTGGAATCTTGGATGGCTTGGACTGGGACTCGGAGACAGGTTCAACCGGCTTAGACACCACATCATGGGCATCAACAAGCGGTGCACCTCCTCCCGGAGTCTCAGGCTCCTCACCAACAAGTTCAACCTCATCTGCTCCTGGAGCTTTACCAACAGTCGTGGCATGGGCCTCAATCGGCCGGTCAGCAGCGAGCTCATGGACTCCTCCAACAGCACCCACATCAACCGGCAGCGGTAGCGTAGCCGTAGAGTTCTGATACTCCACAGCTGTAAACGCTACCGAGTTGGAAAGGGTATCTGTCACGGAGTCCGTCAGGCTTGGGTTGGCAAAGTTGATAGTCGAAGCTGATGGGGTGATGTCCTCTGGGATGGTGGGAAGGGTGTCAATGATGGCACCAGTAGGGCTGATAATGTGTGTCTGGATTTCAATGGGCGGCACAAGGTCGTAGGATAGCTGGTCTTGGTCGACAACGGTCGGTTCCGGTTGGGCCTCAGATTGTTGTTCCTCGATCGTCGGTTGAACTGCGTGGTGCTCCACCACTGGTTGGACCTCGGGTTGCACCTCATCCCGTCCCGGTTGGGCGACTTGGGCCATGTCCTCGGTGTTGGTGTTGTCCTTGTCATCCTTGGGCTCGTCCTGCTGTGTAACTTCGGGCCGCGCTTGGGCAGCGGCAGTCTCTGGTGCAGCCTCACTTTCCCGCAGTTGCGGTTGGGTCTCAGGCTCTGGTTCCACGACAGAAGCACCACCACCACTAGCGATCTTTGAGCTGCTCTTCTTCCTCTTTGTGGTCTTCTTTTTCTTGGGCGAGCTGGCGGGCTCTGTGGGCGCATCCGATTGGCCCTCAAGCGCCAGTGGCTCCGGGGTCGTTTCAGGCTCAGGCTTCTTCTGCTCGGACTTCGGGGCAGGAGCGAGTGCCTGATCCAAGCTCAACGGCTCGTCCTTGGGCTGGTTTGCCTGCTTGCTGGAACCCCAGGGCCAAAAGATCTTGTAAGCCGGTTGTGGCGGGGATTGTGGTGGTGATTGCAGAGAGGAGCGGATATCCGGGCTGGAAGGGCTGGAAGTCGGGGGTGCGAGGATTTCGGTAGGCTCGGGGGAGAGTTTGGAGTCTTTGCGGTCTCTGTTCGTCTTCTTCTTCGTTGGCTTTGCGGGACCTGGGCGTGAGAGAACTGGCTGGGTTGCCGTTTCCTGGGGTGTTTCCTGGGGTGTTTCGGCTGGCGTTTCCGCCGCCTGAGTTGTAGACTCTGCCTGGACTGGAGCTGTGGACACTTCAGCGGGATTGACAGTCTTCTTCTTTGCCTTGCGCTTCTTCTTGGGGGACTTGGGGCTGGTGGTAAGCTCATCGATGGGAGCCTGCTCCCCTGGTGTGTGTCCCTCACTCACTGGTTGAACGGGAGTCTGCGGTCGCTCCTTCATGCTCTTGAGCACTCGCTTAGCCTGGTCGAACGCTGACATCTGAGACTTTGGAGTCGCAGAATCGTGAGGCCCCTGATGTGCCTGATCAGACTCTCGTGTAAGCTCGTCTTCAAACGCAGTGTTCTTTATCGCAGCCTCAGGCAAGTCAACTCTTCCTGAAATGATCTCTACAGGTGCCGCCAGAACTCCCGTACTACCCGATTGCGCCTTATTTCCCTCTGAAGTGGAAAATGTCAATGACTTGTTCC